AAAAAATATTTATTTATTCGTCTACATTAATGTGGTCCCCTTCAAAGTAGTCCCCCCCAGATATAATACACTTATGCCAGCGTTTTTTCCAATTTTCGAAGCACCCTTGATATTCACTTTTTGATATGTCCTTGAGCACTCTCGGCGATTTTCTTCAATCGAGGAAAACCGCCGTCCTTTCATGGGTCTCTTCAACTTTGGGAATAGGAAAAAGTCACACGGAGCCATATCTGGTGAATTTTTGCACTTTGCAACACTTTATTTCATTTTTTACGCAAAATTTAATACAAATTCTTTGACTTTTTCAATTCTTCCATTGTAAAAATCGCCGAGCTCAGAAAAACACGTCGAACCTTAGCGACTACCACAGACAAAGTAAACAGTGAATATAGCTGAAAATTTCATCATACTTTAGGGGCATGTATACCAACACAATAAAAAAAAAATTTGACAATCAGACACTCCAGACCCGCGAAATTTAATTATTAGTAATTCCGGGCACTTTTTGAACAGACCATGTATATATATATATATATATATATATATATATATATATATATATATATTATGTTGCTTTTCCAAAATATTTTTTTTAAAATAATTATTGATTGTCTAACAATAACGTCTAACAATAACGTCGGAACTATGTAAGTTCCATCTTCAGGACAGCTTCAGGCTTGTCAGGAATACGATCTTGCATAGACTATTGTTTTGTTCAGGGGGCGTCCAGTAATCACGTGATTATTCTTTTAGGGAATTTTGAACCCCCTCCTCGACCCTTTAGTTACGTAAAATTTTCCGAACGTATTTTTCGAACCTACACAAAAATCGTTTTTTTTTTTTGAAAAATTTGGTGAAAAATAAGTACACGTGGTATCTAACTAAACCCATCCCTCCCCAAAGTAATTTTTCGCGATTTTTTGTCAAATATAAATATATATACAGGTCCGGTCATGGGGTCCTTAGCACCCGCATGCCATTTTTTTTTCTAGCGTCCCCACCTATTATTTTAACTATTTTAACTGTTTATCATTAAAATTATATAACTATTTACGTTAATCTTTTTTTTAATAATTACGTTAATTTAATTTTTCATTATTTAAAATACAATCCAAAATTGCATCATAAACTTTTTCTAATTGATAACATAAGGGACGAATTGTATGTATTCATCTTTACTTTTCTATCGTGTCGTCTTGGTATTAGTACTGAACCCATATAAATGTATACACAAAATTTGTATTTATTATCATAATCTTTATAAAATATCTGATAATGCGATATACATATGTCTAATGTTCAGTTTTGACCGCTAAATGGTAATATTTTTCCATTTTTTTATTGGATCTCCGGAGACGCTGGACCTGCCTTTACAAAAACCTTCACCAGTTGTTTATTTCGTCAATACAAGTAAAATGTTTTATGAATTATTTCAATCGGACGCTCCGTTATCTCAAAAATTGAAATACCATTTTTGCCACTTTTTGCCCCGTATCTCCGAAACAGCTAGACCTGCCTTTGTAAAAAACTAATCAGCACGTCTCAATATCAGTAGGAATCGAAATTCGATTTTCGAATAAATCAAATCGGTTAACCCGTGTTTGCAAAATCGTCGACGAAAATTTGTATCCGCACACACACACATATACATTTTTTCTAAGGTATGCCAAAATGTTCAAAAACCCCTGAAACGTAAAGATATTAAAAAAAAATATTTTCGATTTTTTTGTGATTACTATAACTTACCCTACGGGAAGTTAAACGCTTCATTTGAGTTCAATTTTAATGCTCACCTTAAGGGGGTATTCTAGTGTAGAGCGATGAATTTTAGGTCATTTTGTGTCGTAAAAGAAAGTAATGAATATTTTTACTATCCATTTTTTGACCACATGTTTATTAATATTATTAAAATACGAAGCAACAAATAAAAAATAAAAAAGTAAAATTATAAAAACTGGCAGCTGATGAAGTGGGTGGTCTAAAAAAATTGGCACCTCAGTCTTGACGATTTCAACCTTCCTAGCCATCGGAAATGCAAAAAATAAAAAGATTATTAATCTACAATGATGTCGCAATCGCCCGAACTAGCGATGAGTGAAAAAAAATATTTTTTACAAATTGGCGACTGTTTGAAAAAGTCTTTTTTTACTGTTTTTTTGAGTTTCTCGAATTTTTTAAAAATAATAAAAAATTGGAATTTGGGGATAATCCTAATTCGGGCTATAGATAGGTCTATAAACAAGACTCTCTGAACATTTCAAATGAATCGGTCGAGTAGAACTCGAGAAATCGTGTCAACAGTACTGAAAATGTCTGTTCTGAGAAAAACGCATTTAAAGTTTTGCGTGAAGCCAAACCAGTAAAATGCCTATATCTCCGAAAATAATTCAAATTTTCGAAAACATTCTCGTACCCATATTCTTAGATAGTTAAACTTTGAAAATATGAAATAAAAGTAAAATCGATTTTTTTGAATTTTTACACTAGAATACTCCCTTAAGTAATCCATATTTAATTAAATTTCCCGACTGTTTCCTATCTAAAAGTGTCCATGTGCCATCATAATATTATAGTTCGTTCCATGTAACTATTAAATAATTCAGAATTTGGATAATTGATGTCATGTAGCGATCCGGCGCGTGCTTCGTAAGTCATCAACTCGACGGTATGAATAATTTCTTCTCGAGCATTGTTCGCACTCGGCAATTGCCCACATTCGGTTTCATTATTCAAAACCGCACTTGTATAAGAGTTTGTTTAACCTTCTCTTTTGTCAGGCCGATTCAATACTTTTATGTAATTTGATAATTGGTTCTTAGCTATTATATAATATAACATCAACAAAATAAAAAATCGATGAGCTACACTGAATTGAAACGTGGTCAAAATATGAGCTTTGTGTAATAGACAATACGCGCGTAATAGACTTCACTGGTATTTGAAAGCATCTATAAGTTTTTTACTTGTATATGAAGACATGGGAATAGATTGAATATTTGCAATATTTTCTGAAGAAGTTTGTTTCCGGCAGCAAATCTGATTTGCTAATTAATTTCCCCTTAGAATAAGTTATAGTAATCGTCCAAAAATCGAAAATGAAAATTTTTGCATATCTTTACGTTTTAGAGGTTTCTGAACATTTTGGCTACTTTAGGAAAAATGGATGTGTGGGTGTGTTTTGTGTGTACACAATTTATCGTCCACGATTTCGGGCACACGGATCAACCGATTTCAATGAATAAAAAAAACATTCGATTTCTACTGATCGGGAAAAGTTGTGATTAGTTTTTGGCTAAGAGATATCCAGCCGTCTCGAAGATACGGAGCTAAATGTGCAAAAAATGGTAGTTTTGAAGAACGAAGCTTCCTAATTAAGAAACCTTTTGCTTGTATTGACGAAACGATTGTTATTGGGGGGAAAGCAAACATTTTTTTTTCATTTTTATTAAATTTCTCAAAAAATTTTTTGAATATAGAAAATAATTTGGATTTTAATTTTAATTCTAGCTAAAATACAAAAGCTTACTTAGAAAATGAGTAATTTTAACTTTGCAATTCAGTTTATAATTCTTAGAAATATGAGATAAGGGCCTAATCAAAATCCGCTTCATTAAGTATTGTTCATGCAAGCTTATATAAACGCCATTGTCTATAAAATGCAAATGATGAAAGTTACAGTATTTATAATAATATATTTGAAAACATTTCGTTCTGACTAGTTCAGGTAAAGATGACTGGGCCATTTCTTGGTACTTAGGAAACATGTTAGAAGCAATACTAGGTACTTTAAGGTTTTTATAAAAAAAAAATTCATCAGAGTACGGGTTAGACGTTTATTATTTCTTTTTTGCCAAAAAATACGATTAGCTAATTTTGTTTTTTCGACGTTTCAAGGCACTCTGAATCGTTTGACACATAATATTGGAAAGTATGTGCCTGTAAACCCAATGATTTTGTACTCTTATTCTTGTACTACATATGTGATTTTTATCTTATTTTATAAAAAAGAGACAAAACAGCGAAAAAAGAAAAAAAAAAACTATAATACAAGCATTACTGCTCTAACTTCTTATTAAAATTTGTTTTTTACCAGAAAATGTTTGATTTGGCTAAAAATTCCGATTTATTCATTTTTGTTTTGTTTTTGACGTTTCAGGTCATTTTGAATCGTTTGACACGAAAATTAAGAAAGGTATATGTGAAGATTCCGATGAAACTTTGTATAAGTTCATTGTTTTACGAAGGTTTCTGAAACATTATATAGGTCTATGGAAATTGATTCGATTGAACATTCTTCAAAGTTTGGAATAATTAGCCGTGCCAAAATCTATCCCCAGAGATTTAAATGTTACTATCTCAATTAAAATGAGAATTTGATAAAATTTACATTGGGATTTTTTTGCAAAAATGCCACTAACACCTAGCATAGTCAAATATCATTGCAAATGTCACCTTATACGTAGAAAACAAACAATAATGGACCCTGTCCGACATAATTCTTGATATTAAATTGTAAGTTTATCTGAATTTTTTCATATAGAAGTTTTTTTTATTTATTTTTTAATTCAATATGAATAAAGTATGAATACTTATTTAACGGTTATTACATATATTACTAGTGTAAACCTTTATATTACATCTTTTTAAAAATCTCACTAATATTTTGTTAATCTTTTCGTCATTAGAAAACTATACGTAAAAATAATTTTCGTCCATATATGATTACTAATTTAATCATTCAAAAACTAAACAACTCCCATCTTCCGTCCTTGCAAAATGCTTATGTGCTTCTGTTAATTTATTTCACACATTCTCAATGATACATGTGTCGCGAATATATGAGTAGCAGTTTAAAAATGTTACCAGTTTTAATTTGGCATGTTAACAGATAAATAATATTTACGAAAATTTGTTAAATAAAAACATATTTTATAAAAATGCTAATATTGTTTTATAAAAAACATATGTTTGAATGAATATATAATTAGAAATTGGCCCACCACATATGTTTCCTGAATTCAGTAGTTTTGGATCAAATGCATCGAACTTCTTTAGTTTTCGTTGAATGTCCTGGAATAGAAAAATACATTATTAGACTTGCGGAAATGTATAATTTCATGATTCACAAACGCATTCAAATCAATTAATTTGTTACTTAAATTGACTTCAATGACTTCACAAAGATGACACTTAAGTCATTGTTATTGATTTTATGACTATACCATCGATATATGGATCACCTATAAATTACATGTTTGCCTGATTTCAAATGAAAATGCAATTTTGTCGAACTTCCGTATGAAATTTCAAAAAAATTTCAAAAAAATAATTATAAATTATAAATAATTTTGTACTGATCTTGGGGAACTACGTTTTATTCTTGCTGATCTTTTTATCGAATATTAAAAATGTAATAGGTAATCAATAGTTCCAAAATGTCGTAAATTTTCGATAGTTATATATTTAGTATATCAGTAATTATGTGAACAATGTTTAAATTTGTGCTTCAAATTATAGGAATATGAACTTTCATTTAAAATTTTTATATATAATTCGTATCATTCTTATTTGAATTCATAATTTCATGCATTTTGTGTTATTTACACGCACTATCAATATTTTGAAAAGTCAGTTATTAAATTTAGAACGTTCTGCTCTACTTGATTAATTTATGATGATTTATTTAGAAATTTTGTTCTATCATTTACAATCACACAAATCGTTATCGATTTCACTTAAATTAAAATTGAAATATGACGTTACAAGTTATAATCTTGCGACGAGATAAGGAAACTTATAGTTTTAATTAGAAAGATGTGAAATAATGTACGAAATATAAATTAGAACTGTATTTCAATGTGTAATAATAAAACTACACAATCTTGAAAACTAACGAAAAGACAGAAAAAAATAAATAAAATAAAATAAGATTAATAATTATTCCAGCAAAGTTCTAACTTTAATTTATCTACAGACAAAGAAATAATAAATTAATTTTTGCCAAAATTGATATAAATGATTATTTAAGTAAATAAATGCTCTTAACAAATACCTGATCCTGATACATAACTATTTTTTATCCTAAATTTTCTATCACCAATAATTCTATTTATGTGTGGTAACCACTACATTTTCAAAATCATGTGGAAATAGCATCGACTTGTTAAAATTAAATATAGAAAATTCTGCTAAAATTAAAAAAATGAAGAAATCTCATAATTTCGATAAGAGAATAAATTATTTTCAATTTACAAAAAAAAAAAAATTGAAAAAAAATTGAAACAAAAATTTTTTTTTCAAAAGCAATTATTTTGTTAAAACAAGCAGAAAGTTCTTTGAATAAATCAAATCGAACGCTTAGTTCTGCCATTTTTTGCACACTTAGCTCTGTATCTTCGAAATGGCTGGACCTGTCTTTGCCAAAAAGTAATCACTTCTTCTCCCAATCATTATAAATTGAATGTTTTTTAAATTATTCAAATCTGATACTCATTGTCAGTTCTCTCAAAAACTCGATTTGTATCTCCTGCACTCTTTGCACCAAAAACTAATCAGCACATCTCCCTATCAATCGGTTGATCCGTGCGCTCAAAAACGTACACAAAAAATTGTATCCATGCATACACATACACACACATCCATTTTTTTGAGGTATGCCAAAATGTTCAAAAACCTTCAAAACGTGAAGAAATATAAAAATTTCAATTTCGATTTTTGGACTATTACAATAACTTACCCTACGGGAAGTTAAAAATTGCATGTTTTTACCTTTTAACCTGCATAATGGTTTTACGGTCACTTAAACTAAGACTCTAATTTCACTTAAAAATCTCAACTAGAAAAATATAATTTCAATATTATTGTTTCAATATCAATTCAATGTAATTGTTCAGTACGTATAAGATGTAGCTCATATTTATATAACATGTTATGAACTTAACCTATAGTTGAACAAAAATAATTCATAATAATGCATTCTTCATTTGCATATATTAAAATTACTCTTTTTTGAAATTATATAATTACTCAACCATGATCTTTCTAGTCAAGTAAGCTTCGAGATTATCTATAATTATGCGGTTAATTCGCATAATTGTGGAATTTGATCAAAACACGTGCTCGAAAGAAAATTAATTTATAGTTGCATAATTTGAAGAGCAAAAAAAGTCTCTCTTTGTAATAAATATGAGACTTTGTGTAGCATCACTTTGTACTCGGTGCACTGGGAATACCGATTTGCTTCTAAATTTATTCTATTTTCGCAATAACATGCATTATAAAATTAATATACTTGCAAATTAGCACGAGCATAAATTATATTGTTGCAAAAAGCAAACAAGATATTATCAATTTATAATAATATCGGAATGAGATTCATATTTTACATGTATCAAGTGAGTGTAAAAAATAAGCTGGCTGCGTAGATTCGATTATTGACTTTTATGGTGTTTCTTTGCTGATTTACCTTATTTCAAGTATATTTCAAGCACACGAATAAAAATATTGTGCTTGTTCATCGTTTATAAATAATCTTTAAAAACATGTTTTTAACCGCTATCAGAACTACTGGTTCTATCAACTGTTTTATATCGTATATCCTAACCTAGTATTTTTCACAAGAGAGCAACCCAGTGGTCAACCACTGGTTCCCGTAGGGTAAGTTATTGTAATCGTCCAAAAATCGAAATTGTAAACTTTTGCATATCTTCACGTTTTGAAGGTTTCTGAACATTTTGGCATACCTTATATTAGAAAAAATTGATGTGTGTGTGCATGTGCATGTGCGTATGTGTGAATACTATTTTCCGTCCACTTTTTTAGAAGCACGGATCAACCGATTTGAAATTTCCAAAAAGCAATCGATTCCTATTGATAGGGAGACATTCTGATTAGTTTTTGGCAAAAGTCGGTCAAGCCATTTCGGAGATACAAAGCGAAGAGTGAAGAAAGTGAATATTGACTTTTTGAGAGAACGAGGCATCCGATTTGAATTATTCAAAGAACAATATTTCATTACGGTACGGAAAGTTCCAGCAATTTGCCTTATGGCACGATGCCATACTACATCACCAGTTATAATTAAAATTAGAGGATATTAGAACAAGTTGCTCAATTTTTTTTGACTAAATCATACTATGACTAGGTTAAATATTTAAATTTATATCTTCAAGCAAAATGACAAATATTAATATTAGGTTTTAAGCAATCTTATTGTAATCATCACTCCATATTTGTATTAATATGCCATATGTTACAAATTTTTATTTAATAGCAGAACTATTACGAAGATTGTAAATTAAAAAAAAAATAGTTCACTAAACGTTAATTCATGAAATGTTTAGAACCAGCTCTTCCAAAAATCATGTTAAAATAGCTAGGATGTAGCACATCATCCTGCAGAGCTTATTAAATGTACTACTAAATTCAGCTGCGAAATACTAATATAAAAAAATATAGAATTTTTTTACTTCAAAATGACACCTTTTCAACGAGCATACATAAATCTGAAATTGTTTGATCGATACTTTACGAGAAATCTGTTAGTACAGCCATCTACCAAAAAAATAATGCATTTTTCCACCGCAACCTAATTTTATCAAGAAATAGCATGTATGGTTTTTCAAAAATTTCAAAAAAAATATAGAGATCTAAATATTTTCTGATGCATAAATATGAAAGTAAAGAAATTGCCATTCAATCAAAATAAAATTGCACACAAACTCATAAAAATATTAACTCTATTAATTATAATAAATCTTTTGATAATTAATGTCACAGTCATAATTAGTAAGAAGGAAGAAAATTCTAATGCATAATAAATGATAACGTATATATTGTACTCGTGATATAAACAAAAATTATGTGATAGCTCTCAGATGCAGGAGAAAGTGTTTTTCGTTTAATTTCCTCTGTAATTACTTTTGTAATATAATTTTGTCGATAAAATATTTGCTGAGCTGTTTAGCTTATTTAATTGCTGACATATAAGGTAAATCTTATGAAGTTTCTATTACGGCAAAATAGTGGGATAACTGACGAATATTTCAAAAGATTATCTTGGAGCAAACAGTAATAGGTATTGGCAGTGGCGTCGGAACTGTGTGGGCTGTGTGGGCTTGAGCCCACCCATGAATTTTGATGGGGGGGCTCAGCCCACCCATCAATTTCAAAAAATTATATGGACTAATATCTCAAAAAAAAAAAAAAACGAGACCACTGGCTGTCTATCAAAAAAAAAGCGAGCCCACCCATCAAAAATTTGGTTCCGACGCCACTGGGTATTGGTATTGATATCAATATATAAGGTTGTCAAATATCTCCCTTCCGCCTTTTTGTATTATAAACCAAGAGCAAAAAAGCGGAAGGGAGATATTTGACAACCTAATATTATTCGTGAAAAAAAAAATATAAATTGGCAAGCAGAACTTAAAAGCTCTATGAGCTGTTGTGATGATTTTAGAAGACACCCAACCAATGGTTGGTATATCTATATTTGATATATATATGATATTTTGATTTTTAGGATTTCTCTGATACAGATGATTATTAATTCAATGGGCTATTTTCAATTGGCAACATATTTTTGATTTATATTTTCAAGTTAAAATGGACATCGCTGCTGCACGATATCAGGTTGTCCAGAGCGGGGGTTGAAACTCACAACCCCACACAAGACATTGCGTTTAACCGTTACGCCATGGAACACCTTATATATTATTTTTAACAGCAATCAGAACTTGAGACTCCTATTAGCTGTTGTACTGATTTGACTTAATATTAGTCGGTTCTACAGATGGCAACCCAAACAGTTGTCTCATCTCTGTGTGATAATCTTATTATTACAATTTCTGTAATATGGCAAATATTTATTGATGCACAAAATGCCGGATCAGGCTATTTTCACTCGGAAACATATCTTTTCTTAAGTAAAACTTCATTAGGCGCGACTAGGGAGTAAATCTGTGAAAATGCAACGGAAGTTGCGTTACGCCCGAACTGTTCGTCAATCGCTTTCGATGATAGAAATCATTTCTATACGGTTCGATTGTGATTAGTCGTCGTGTCGAGTA